CAAGGAGCTAGCTTTCGTGATTAGTATTCTACTACCACCACCGCCACCACCACTACCGCGGCTACCGCGACTACTACTACGACGCACCCTTTATAATCAATAGATTTTAGCATAATTAGGGTGGTGTGTTTTTCATCGGGCCTTTTTCCTCCCGCAGTACGGTTTCAAAGTCATTTGGCAAGGCCATTGTTCCATTTGAGGATAGGGCTTTAGGGCTTGGAGTGCTAGATTTGTTTTTGAACCCTCCTACTTTAACGATTTTAGCTTTAAGGTTTCGGGTTTGGGAGCTGAGGGCTTGCTTTGGGCCTTGGGGTTAGGATTTAAGGTTTAGATTCCGGGGGATTTGGTTGAGATTTAGGTCTTCAGGCCCCACCACCACCGCCACCGCTACCGCCATTGTGAGCGCCACCACGACCACCAACACGACATCCACCACAACCGCCACCACGACCACACCGGCGCAGCGCTGGTACCTTTGTCCTGCTTATGTTTTTTGAGTTTCGGGTGTCTTTTAGTTTCAGGGTTTGAGATTCTTTCAGTTGTGAGTTTGGGGGTTTAGGGAATTTGGTGTTTAGAGCTTAGGTTTTGGGGGAGTACTGAAGGTCTAGGATTCGGGCGTTTACCTATTAGGGGTTTGGGGCGTCACGCCGGGAAAGATGTAGGCTGGACAAAGGTTGCCAATGTCCATCCCAGAGTCTCTTGCGGTTTATAGTTTCTCTAAGATTTAGGTCTTCGGATTCTGCAGGATTTTATGGTTCGGGTTTCAAGTTAAGGTTGAGGTTCGGGACTTTGATTCCTTCCAATGAGAGGGTTCCACGGTTTTAGAATGTTTTTTGCTTTCTTGACAGCGATAGTTTGGGCGTTTAGGGTCTGGGCTTTGAGGTAGTTGGTGGTTTTGGGATTCAGGCTGTTTGGCGTCTGCGGTTCCTTGAGGGTTGTTCAGGGTTTAGGGTTTGGTCTTGTTTGGGGTTTAGAGTTGAGGGATTTTTGGCTTGGGATATCTTTGGGGAGTCCCCTGAACCATCAAACCACCTTCCTTGCCACTGCTTACAATATTTGAAAATGTCTGTATATATTTCTAAGGCGTTGTGCAAGGTCTGTGAAGACGGGCATTGATTGACTTTAACATTTGTTCCTAAAAAACCGTGGCCGTCCGTCCAACAGACCCAAAGCCCAAACAATGCCCAGCAGTTTTCAGGTGTAGACTCAATATAACCCAAATGTTACCCCAATATGACGCCAATATTACCCAAAAAGTAGACAGGCGTGTGCGAATTTGCCCATTCCCACAGTACAAGTCCTGGTACTGGTGCCAAGGGGAAGTGTCGTACCTTACTTCAAAATAGTCCCAACAAGTGTTCGATAAACATGTCTGTACACATGTTCTTGAAGTTGTCCTTTCTTGGTGGAGGGAGGCTGTGGCTCCTGTTACCAACGATACCCCTCAAGCAACCTTTGACGACATGCTTCAGATTTTGAAGCCCAAAAAAGCCCCGCTTTCGGGAGAAGGACGAAGAACGAGCCTTCATCCAAAAAAACAAATTCTAACGCATGTCTTCGGGCTGTTTGGATTCCAGGGTCAGTTTCTACAACCTGGATCAATTGGCGTCTTCACCATTTGGCGTCAGACTCATTTGCAGGAAATCATCCTTGGTAGGCAAGGAGGCCTTCCCCTTGCAGTTCTGACAGAAGTAGAGACAATAGTAGCAGCAGTAGCAGTCGCAGTAGCAGTCGCAATAGCTGTAGCAGTAGTAGTACTAGTAACTAGCACCAAAACCATTACCGGTACCAATACCAATACTAGTACTAGTACGAGTACTAGTACTGATAGTACTAATACTGCTACTGCTACTACTACTACTACTACTACTACAACTACATCTACTACTACTACTACTACTGGTACTGCTGCCACTACTGCTACTATTCTTATTATGATTACTACTACTACTACTACTACTACTACTACTACTACTACTAGGTGTCACGCCCACTCAGTGCCGGAATATTTGTTGCAACTTGCAGGTCGAAATGCGTTTTGCAGATGCCTGTCGCCTACCAAAATGTTTTTCAAGTGGTTATTTAAGCAGGTATGCAAGAATGGGTTGTGAATCTCAGGTTTCAAGGTTTAGAGTTTGCTGTTTAGGGCCGGCTTCGGTTCAAAGCTGAACTATTCTGAGATCTATATACTGTGGTGCGAGATGCCCTCCATCTACGGAGAAGCCAAATGTCAGGGTTTCTGCAAACCCTACCTGGACCCCAACAGTAGGTAAAATAACAGCCCAAAACACCTAAAGACAGACCAAACGACCATTATTCTACATACTTTTGTGGTTCAGGTAGACCGTATATCATTGTTCGGTGAACCAGGGAGCCACCCACTCGACAAGTTCAATTGCATTTCATGTGAGCCATAGTCTTCTAAACTCTTAGTATCCCCCTTAATAACCCGTATAGTGTTCCCCCCTTACACTAAACCCTAATATAATCCCTGATGTAACCCCCTTTAAAGAATTCCGACTACTGCTCATGTGGGGCCTTCTAAAGCTTGGTGGGCCCCACCCGCGAAATGAGTTTTATGTAGGCGGTTTAGGGTTTAGGGTGAGGTTTACAGCTTACACCTTAAACCCCTTTTTCATCCATTTTCCATAACCCCTAAGCCCCTAAACCCTAAAACGTAAATCGCGTGACACATCCGGTTTCTAAGGTGTAGGGTCAGCAGAGGCGTTTGTGAGCTTTAACCCAAAATGCGAAGTGTAGACGCGCTCAT